ATATATAGCAATTGAAGCAAAGCCCTAAACTTATCCATCCCGTTCTCCTCTGCGGCCCTTTCCTCCGGTTTTGCTCGAAACCATGCCTACCTTCCCCTTCGCCACATCGGGGCCAAAACCCTAGCGATACAGGCGCGACTAGAGTTAGCTGAGAAGGAAACGGCAGGATCGCAGCGTACAAAGACCTTCGAAACTCTCATCTTTCTCCTCCTTCCGCTCATCTCCTACCCGAAACCATTGAAGAAGGTAACCCTCGTATTTGTTTCCCTTTCTCCCACCCGCATTCGCGCTTTTTAGCTCCTCTAAATCCCGTAAATCCGTGTTCCAACCGGATTTACAAAACGGAGGAAAAACAGGATTTTGAAGTCTGTAGGATTTAAAGTTGTAATCTTTGCCGTTTGGAATGGTCAAGGTTAAATCCTGCTTAAATCCTTCTAAAATCCCGCTACTAAACAGCCCCTTAGACTATCAACATGTACATGGTGCGTGTGCAATTAAATTAGTTGTATGCAGCAATTGCAGATGTTGTAAATGGCATAAAATGGTTATTAATTGAGCTGATGCCATGTGAAGTCTGATAGGTGATGATGTCAAAAGTAGAGGGCAAAGAGATAATGAGGACGAGTTTTTGAGTGGAAAAAAACATGTTAATATGATATCTCATTTGCTGGCTATTAAAATATGGCTTAACGAGTAATGAGTCATCACTTCTATAAAGAAGAAGACATGAAGGATTTGCTTCTTTTGACTTTATAGCTTATTTATGCCCATTGTGGTGTTAGGTCGAGTCTTTGAGTGAAAAATAACATGTTAACAGGAGGCCTCATTTGATTCAATTTGTAGAAAATTTAAATTGAACCAAACAATTTTTGTTATTGTCAACAGTTAACGTTTTTCACATCACCGTGTAGCTCCACTTCTTATTTACACACCCCAAAGATGTCTACCTCCATGTTTAAGCTTTCAAGAGAAATGCAGGCCCATGATGTGTTGACATCGGAAATCTTCCTATGAAGATGCATTATCTCTTCTCTCAACCTCCTATAGGTTTGTTTGTCAATAGTAGAATATAACTTGAGCAGGATTTAATAAATCTAATAAATATAAAATTAATAAATTATATGCGAGCTAAATCTTGAAAGATATTTGATATGATATGTGTCAAATTTATTTAAATTTAGATTAACTGTTTGGGTACAATTCATGTTGAGCAGGATTTAATAAATCTAATAAATATAAAATTAATAAATCATAAGCGAGCTAAATCTTGAAAGATATTTGATATGATATGTGTCAAATTTATTTAAATTTAGATTAACTGTTTGGGTACAATTCATGTTGAGCAGGATTTAATAAATCTAATAAATATAAAATTAATAAATCATAAGCGAGCTAAATCTTGAAAGATATTTGATATGATATGTGTCAAATTTATTTAAATTTAGATTAACTGTTTGGGTACAATAATTAATGATAATCAATAATTAATAAAATTCTAAGTAATTAAGCAATAAGTTTCATTAAGATAAATTAAATTCAAAACAATATTAATTTATTTAAGTTAATTTTTTTTAATTATATAATTTAATAGTTAAATTTCATTTATTTATTATTTTAATTTCTGCTTTTATCTCTAATTTATTTGATTGAATATTAATTTTTTTGTTATGAATTCTTATTATGTTAATTAAGATATAATTAAATAATCTTATTACTATCCTAACTAATCATTATTTAGTAATTTATAAAGCTAATTAAAATTTATAATTTTTTGTTATCAAATTGGATTACTAATAATTAGTTTTTATAAAGTGATTTTTTTTGTTAATTGGCATTATATATTAAAATTAATTAAAATTGTAATTAATTTATTCTATCAATGAATTAATATTAAATTTAGTTATTATTGTAGATCTTAATTAATATATTTAAACTCGACCATGTGCACCCCTTGGCCGATTTTAAACTGACAATGACACGCTACTTTAGAACACTTGTCATTCTTCCCAAATTACAGAGACCATCAACGACAACAAAGCCAGTTAATTTGTGGGACTAGCTCGTTGAAGGGTGGAGAAGGCGGTGACCGGGTCAACAACCCTTGAAGGAGAAAAGAAATTCATAAGGCTTGGGTATTTTATTCAAAATTTTCCCAATCCTGGAATTATTAAATCTTGTTTTAAGGTCAAACAGGGAGAAAAAAGATTTAAATTCTGTAGGATTAAATTTTTTTTTCCTATTGTTTGGAAGGGTTTAAAATTGACAAAATATTTTCCTATTTCTGTTGGATTACCTTCTCTCAACCTCCTATAGGTTTGTTTGTCAATAGTAGAATATAACTTGAGCAGGATTTAATAAATCTAATAAATATAAAATTAATAAATTATATGCGAGCTAAATCTTGAAAGATATTTGATATGATATGTGTCAAATTTATTTAAATTTAGATTAACTGTTTGGGTACAATTCATGTTGAGCAGGATTTAATAAATCTAATAAATATAAAATTAATAAATCATAAGCGAGCTAAATCTTGAAAGATATTTGATATGATATGTGTCAAATTTATTTAAATTTAGATTAACTGTTTGGGTACAATTCATGTTGAGCAGGATTTAATAAATCTAATAAATATAAAATTAATAAATCATAAGCGAGCTAAATCTTGAAAGATATTTGATATGATATGTGTCAAATTTATTTAAATTTAGATTAACTGTTTGGGTACAATTCATGTTGAGCAGGATTTAATAAATCTAATAAATATAAAATTAATAAATCATAAGCGAGCTAAATCTTGAAAGATATTTGATATGATATGTGTCAAATTTATTTAAATTTAGATTAACTGTTTGGGTACAATTCATGTTGAGCAGGATTTAATAAATCTAATAAATATAAAATTAATAAATCATAAGCGAGCTAAATCTTGAAAGATATTTGATATGATATGTGTCAAATTTATTTAAATTTAGATTAACTGTTTGGGTACAATTCATGTTGAGCAGGATTTAATAAATCTAATAAATATAAAATTAATAAATCATAAGCGAGCTAAATCTTGAAAGATATTTGATATGATATGTGTCAAATTTATTTAAATTTAGATTAACTGTTTGGGTACAATTCATGTTGAGCAGGATTTAATAAATCTAATAAATATAAAATTAATAAATCATAAGCGAGCTAAATCTTGAAAGATATTTGATATGATATGTGTCAAATTTATTTAAATTTAGATTAACTGTTTGGGTACAATTCATGTTGAGCAGGATTTAATAAATCTAATAAATATAAAATTAATAAATCATAAGCGAGCTAAATCTTGAAAGATATTTGATATGATATGTGTCAAATTTATTTAAATTTAGATTAACTGTTTGGGTACAATTCATGTTGAGCAGGATTTAATAAATCTAATAAATATAAAATTAATAAATCATAAGCGAGCTAAATCTTGAAAGATATTTGATATGATATGTGTCAAATTTATTTAAATTTAGATTAACTGTTTGGGTACAATTCATGTTGAGCAGGATTTAATAAATCTAATAAATATAAAATTAATAAATCATAAGCGAGCTAAATCTTGAAAGATATTTGATATGATATGTGTCAAATTTATTTAAATTTAGATTAACTGTTTGGGTACAATTCATGTTGAGCAGGATTTAATAAATCTAATAAATATAAAATTAATAAATCATAAGCGAGCTAAATCTTGAAAGATATTTGATATGATATGTGTCAAATTTATTTAAATTTAGATTAACTGTTTGGGTACAATTCATGTTGAGCAGGATTTAATAAATCTAATAAATATAAAATTAATAAATCATAAGCGAGCTAAATCTTGAAAGATATTTGATATGATATGTGTCAAATTTATTTAAATTTAGATTAACTGTTTGGGTACAATTCATGTTGAGCAGGATTTAATAAATCTAATAAATATAAAATTAATAAATCATAAGCGAGCTAAATCTTGAAAGATATTTGATATGATATGTGTCAAATTTATTTAAATTTAGATTAACTGTTTGGGTACAATTCATGTTGAGCAGGATTTAATAAATCTAATAAATATAAAATTAATAAATCATAAGCGAGCTAAATCTTGAAAGATATTTGATATGATATGTGTCAAATTTATTTAAATTTAGATTAACTGTTTGGGTACAATTCATGTTGAGCAGGATTTAATAAATCTAATAAATATAAAATTAATAAATCATAAGCGAGCTAAATCTTGAAAGATATTTGATCATAGAGGGAGACCTAGGAAGACTTGAGCTTGTTGTATAAAAAATGATCCTAATTTATTAGTACTAAATGAAAATATGACATTAACTAGGACGCATCGGAGAAAAAAGATTCATGTAGCCGACCCCAAGTAGTGTGATTAAGGCTTTTTTTTTGTTGTTGTTGTTGTTTGGAAGGGTTTAAGTTAATACTTGCTCAAATCCAATCTCCAACAACTCTTACGATTGCTCATCTTGTTTTCATGCTATGGCTCATGAGACGCCAAGAGCCTGCATCCTCTCCTCACATTGTTGATTTCCGTCCAGTGAAGCGACAAGTTGCAATTTGAACATCAACCGCCAATGTCAACTTAGGTTTTCATACCATTGAGCTTTCTTTCCTTATGCTATGGTAGAAGCCATTTCTCTTATTATTTCCTTCTCTCATCTTCTGTTCAATAAACATTAGCTTTTGACCATAGAGCACTGCTTCATTTTTTTATATATTCTAATTTTAGAGCCTTAGCATTTGCAAATTTTGATAGCGTTATCTGTCAAGCTTCTAATTTTTTTGTTTTTGATGATGTTTTTTTGTACAATTTAAATTTTTTTTATTTAGAAAGTTTTGCGGTAGTTGTAACAAACCACTTTTTTTAAGAGCAAGTTATTGTACATAATATGAAAATGTTTTGGTTGAAGAAATTCATTTAGTTTTTTGTTTCTTTGAGTTTTTTAAATTGATTTTGTCAGTTCAGTTTTCTAGGTGACATAACTAAAGTCATCATTACCAAAACCTGTTGGTTTGATTGATTTGTTGAAATGAAATAACCTAATGCACACCTTTAGATGCTATTTCTAGAAAACTCCAACAAGGAGATAGATTTATGGCTTGCATTAAGCTTGAGTTGAAATTAACGAGTCTTTCATGATTCAAATGGAGATTAGATTGAGCCAGTTCATAACCTGATTTGGCTTGGATTGAGATCAAATTGGATGTATTTGAGCTGATCTCTAGTTGAGGCCAAACAATTTGAGATGGAATTGGTAACATCTTTAAAGTATAACATAATCTAATCATGCAAATTCGTTCTAATTGCTCTACATCCTCACCCCCAAGAAAAAAATTCTCTTTTGAAGAGTTTGGTGGAGTCTTCAAATGAACTAGCTAACACATAAACTGAATTAGCCTTTATAATTTTAGAATTGAAGTTTACCCATAAGTAGTAACTTATGGCCAACAATATGGGATGAAAGTTGTTAGTTGTCACGAGGAATAAAATTTAGAATCCACTGGCACTTTGGTTTTTTTCATGCAAGATAGGCAATATCAAGTTAATAACTTAAATATGTAGATGTGCTTTAAAATTCAAAATATCGGTATATAGCTTACTACTATCATGGAAAGAATCTTTACAACCTCCAACGTTTTGGGCCTAGGAGAAATTAACTTGAAGGGCAACTTATGGAGGAATGCAAAGCTCAAAATTATCTACAATCTCTAGTTCGAAAATCGAAAAATCACCATTTTCCTTTTCATAAAATGGCTCGTCATTGTAGAAATTTTTGGTATCTCAACTTATTTAGCTTTGAAGAGTGAAAATGTATTGGATATGTGTTTAGGCCAAGGGAATGAATTGGAGATAATATTTCATCTTAACCTTTTGTAAACTGAATCACTCAATATCTTTTCTGATGGAAGTAGCAAATTGATCATTTAAAGGATATTTTAAAGTTAGAGAATCTCTATTCAAGCATTTTATATGGAGTTTTTGGGCTGTCAATAAAGCTTGTTGTTTGTAAATAGTTCATGTTTGACTCTTTAAGTAGTTTGTTTTCGATTTATATATTAAGCACTCAAGTCGAACACAATTTTTTTTAGCTCAATTTATAAACGAGCTGAACACAAATAGACATTTTTTTTGTATTTCGCTTGTCTTGACTCTAAATAATTAAATAATTAAATAAATAATATTTATTTTAACTTTTTATATTGATTGTGTACGCAGTATTTTAAAAAACGTTAAAATTTATTATTTTTAAATCATAGGAGCTAAATTTAAGCAAGCTAAAAAGTGAAGAAATGGATTTAAATAGAGCCAAATATGAACATACCATGCAACAAACATTTCGAATGCAAGTTGATTTCGAACAAAAAAAAAAATTGAACGAGCCTTGCACGAACAAACACAGGGCTCGCTCAAGCTTGGCTCATTTACACCACTAGTGAATGTGGTTATGTAATGATTAATTGACATGGTCAATATGTAATTGATGTTCATGGATTGAAGATATAGCTTTGTTTACTATTTTAGGTGAAAAAGGAGCCTAAGACTGGCATTGGTGATTTTTCTGCTATGTAAGATTTGTAACAAGTAGTAAGATTTGTAACAAGTAATGATGATTATAAGAGCTCCATAATTTTGAATGTTGATAAGATTTTGATTAAATATATGCTCTTCTTAAGAATATAAAATGCAAGATTAAAAGTTTGTGATGAAAGAAGAGTGAAATGAGGTGAAATTTACTTATGGAGTTGATAGTCCACAATTTGATAAGCTCAATATTGAACAGGGTTGTGTATCGATTGTGTTAGCTTTGGTTATAGGTCTAGAAACTTGGTTTTGGGTTTGGCCAAGATGGGTCCAATTGTACTATGGTTTAGAATAATTTTTTGATATTTGATGTGGTGTTAAGGGCATATAAATTTGCTAGGAATATGTGGATATAATCAACGAAGTGTATTGAATATAATCAAATTGGCCTGTTTTGAGAAATTGGTAGTTAAGGACATATTTTTTGGCAGTTAAGGATAGGTTTTATTTTATTTATAATCTAAGTTAATTTTGTTAGTTAGACAAGGAGAAGATTACATGAAGTGTATTTAACAAAAATGTTAATTTAGAAAGAGAAATACAACATAATACTAGAGGATCATTTAGATCACTTAGCTTTGAAGTGTAGTGAATATTAGAGGTGACAATAAAATTTCTTTTGATTCCTACCTCTTATAAAGAATATGAAATCTTTTATCTATCAGTGAATCAAGACTCTAAATGCTCTAATTAGAATCAGAATCCTACTGTCATAAATGAACGTCATTTTGCTTACAAATTGGATGAAGCTGTGGCATTTCAAGCACTTGCAGAGTATTCTCATCTATAGTATTAACAATTGCAGAGATTAACACCAAGGGCCTAACAAAGCAGAAATTTCAATCAATGACTTTGGTTTGAGATTTTGAGACTAGGTTTGGTTAGATGAGAGAGGTCTTCTGCTAAACAACTAGGAGAATCAATTCGAGCATCATATGGAGAGTTTGTGATGAAAATTTTGAAAGCTTTAATTTAGGATGTGCCTTAAAGCTTCCAAAAATTTGGGGCTCAAAATTATAAAGAATAATATGAAGGAATATTTTTAAATTTCATGTAATGCCAATATTTGGACGATCGGGATCCAATCCACACCTCTATATGAAATAATGTTTTAACATCTAATTCCACTAAGACTAGCCATAGGGGCCTAATAAAAGGAGCTATTGTAGCATTTATTTGTTATGGCCTTTCAAAAATGAAAGCTATAGTGAGTATGATAGATTGGTTGAAATAGTATAGGCCCAGTTGTGAAAAAGAGATCCAAACGCGAGCGATAATAGGTTTCATCGTATAATCAAAATCAGCGGATCAATTTAACAAGCACATTGAAAATCTACTAATATAATAAGAGCATCGAGAGAAGACGCCTTGCTGGTAATGCAAGTTTTATGATGATTTGTCTAGGATCAATAATCCCAACAGAGTAATCACTAATACTTTTTAAACCATCCAAGAACTTGTGAATTATCTCAATTCTAGGCCTACTCATAGAGAAATTTCCAATAAGTGAAAAGTCGAGAGGTCTAGCAAGCTCAGATATTTCTTCATCAGAAAAGAGAAGAACATGTTTGCCTTGAAAACAAGAAGGTTGTTTATGTTGATGGTTTGTAGAAGTTTGATGAAAGAAAAATGGAGGATTGTTTTGTGCCGATGAGAGATTTTTTGTTACGTATGTGATACCAAAACTAGTAGGAAAAACTATGGAAACACAAAAACAAACTTTTATTAATTGGAAAAATAAGGTAACGAGACAACTCAACAGAAAAATAATAGCACAAAACATACACGACACAAGTAAACACCTCTAAGGTGTATTCCCAAGCGGTGGAGGTCGGCGAGGTGGGTCCGACGACTTGCTACAACAAGGTGCAGGAGAGGGGTCGGTAGGGGTTGGAAGTTGATCTAGAGGGGGCAACAACGTCTGTTGGGCGGCTGGGAGGTAGCTTTGAAGGTGGAGTAACAAGCTAGGAAGATGGGACAACAATTGGGAAAACTCACCGACAATTTAGGAGGGTGGATGGCGAGCGGGAAAGTGCATGCAACAATGGGAAAGGCCGTGGGAGTGCGGTTGGTCTGAGAAAATAGCGGTCAAAGAAGTTGACAACAAGCCGAGTGTTAGGATGAGTTGAGGAGAAGAGTTAGGGAAGATGAAAAGGGAAGATAACATTACTATTTCGAAGTAGGATATAACCATAGCACCACCATCTCCTTGAATACAGCTCTACAAATGGGAAAATGATTTCACTAAGTAAAACTGAAAACAAACCTCGCAAAGACCGACTCCCATACACAGAGGACAACAATTTATAAACTCCTAGGAAACTTTTACATGAAATGAAGGGGTGGGAGGGCAAGAAGAATACATAGCATACTTCACGGGTGCGGCAACATGCAAAGCTTCCTCTCCGGATTGTTGTTCTTCCTGCCCGAGGGTTCTCCCGCTGTCGTGCTTTTTCGCGAGGTTCGCGGGTTGGCCCCCATGGCAATTAGCACTCGTGGTCGGGCGCTGTTTTAGCGTCCGCATTAGGGCACTATTAGCGACCCGTGTTAGGGATGTAGTTATCACCTGCATTAGTTTCCAAGAGTTGTGGGAGCTTCAACTTCATAGGTCGAAGCTTCCGTTTTGTTGTCAGTCACTCATGGATCACACTGGCGACTGCACTGTTTCCCAAGATACTTGAGGGTCTTTTCTCACGTATGAACAAACATCCACCTCAATCCCATCTTTTCGAGCTGCGTGCCCTGCATGTATTATTAAATTTTCCCAAATTTGCTCACATGCGGTTCAGTCTTGTGCCGTGAGAGTGGCCTGAACCCTCCTGCCCTGTGGTGTTGTTGGCGATACGGTATTGAGTGCGATGCTCTGAAATTTTTTTTTGTCATTTTTGTTTCGTGTTAGGAGTCAGTGTCTTGGTCCACTCATTCAGTGTTGCCGGTAAATCTGGTTCCACTGACGTTGTTCTGCTGAAAGGGCATGCATCCATTGAAACCATTTTGCACCACACCTGGTCCTGTAGCTGACTTCCAATCAAAAACTCTACTAAGTATCTTCGGTTGATGTTATCCCGATTCTCTTTTAGCCATGTCAGTGAATACGAATGGGAATGCCTTTGAGTCGTAAGTTATAATTTTTCTACCATCTGTGTCGATGTCACGTTCTTTCTGCTCCCGCTGTCGATGATGAGGTTGCATACCTCTCTATTTACTATGCATCGCGTCTAGAATATTTTGTGGCAAAGCCAATGCGGATCCCTCATGTCCTCGGTTTGCAGGATCCGTCGAATCACGAGCACTTCTCCTTCATCAAGTGGGAGTTCATACTCCTCGCCCTGTTCCTTAGCTTTCCCTTCTTTGGTCATCTCTTTCACGACGCCTTGATCTGTGAGAGTAATTGCCCTGCTCGTGGGATAGTTGGAGGCTATGTGGTCGTATCCGTGGCATTGGTAACACTTCTTGGTCGGTACCGTGTTGGAGGAGCTGCCCTTCTCCTGTTTCTTCCCTCTTTGATCCCAAGTGTCATTCCCTTTTTCGACTTTGCTTGTGTCTCTAGTGATACCCTTGTCAATCATGGTAATTGTAGGAGATTATTTGCCTTAAGCTTGTTGCCTGAAGGATGATTGTTGTCTGCTCTACTTCTGCTGTCTTTCCACCTCTAAGGCTAATGTCTGGACATCTCCCAACATCCAACACGGCTGTAGTTGCACCACATTGCTAATGATAGACTTCAGTCCCCAAAGATATCAGACTACTGCATGCTCTTTCAGCTCTACCAGTTAACACTTTAGCTGTAAGTGATCGAATTGGGCTGTGAATTCCTTCGCTGAAGGATTTCTTTGCTACAAGTTGTAGAGTTTTAGAAACATATCCCGACGATAGCGGGGTGGGAGGTACTTTTTCTACATTGCCTGCTTCATCTTCTTCTACTTAGTTATCTTCTCAATGCCTTCTATTTTCCTCCGCCTTTGTAGATTTTCTCATCATAAGTAGACATTTTTTTTTAGTTTAATCTTAGCTAGCTTGACTTGTTTGTTCTTTGGTATGTCTTTATATTAAGAAATCCGTTAGTTTGATTGCAACTAATCGATAAACTCATCGGGGTCAATACCTCCTCTAAATTCTGGGAGGTCCATCTTGATGCTAAAGTTCTGCTGACCTCTATTAGGGGCCTCTTCTCTCAGCCTCCTTTTATATTGGATACCAAAAAGATGTTGTTGATATTTCTCGTTATTGTGATCTTCCCTGTGGAACAAATTCATAGACGTTCCTGCCTTCCCCTCAACTTTCTTAATCACGGTAGAAGGTAATCTCATCCTGGTTCCTGTCATCCAACTCGGCTAATCTGTTGCAGACGACAAATTTCTTGTTGAATCTCTTCTCGAGTTGGGCCTAGTACATCTCTCCGCGGTGTTATAGTTAGGGTTGGGGATTGAAAGAAAAAATTGGGTGAATGTGGCTTGGGTGGGCGGATGCTTGAAACCCTAGGATTAGACTAGAGCTAGCTCTGATGCCAAATAATAGCAGAACTAGTAGGAAAAATAGTGAAAACACAAAATTAAATTTTTATTGTTAGAAAAATAGGGTTACAACAAAACTCAATAAAAAATAATGACACAAAACATACACGATACATGCAAACACCTCTAAGGTGTATTCCCATAGTGGTGGAAGTCAGCGAGGTGGACCTGGCGGCTTGTGACAACAAGGATGATGTAGGAGAGGGGTCGACAGAGGTTGGAAGGTGAACTCAATTAGGGGGCAGCAAGTTAGGGGGGCGAGAATGTCTATGGGGTGGCTGGAAGGTGGGTTGGAAGGTGGAGCAGCAAGCTGGGAAGATGGAACAACAGTTGGGAAGACTCGCCAACACTTTAGGATGGTGGACAACGAGCAGGGAAGTGCATGCCACAATGGGAAAGGCCGTGGGAGTGCAGTTGGGAAGGGGAAACAACAGCTAGGAGAAGTGTAGTGGAAGACGAGATACCAAACCGCTTTGAGCGAATAGGGAACATGGAAATAGCCCAAACAGAGGACAACTAAAGTGATCGAGTATGACCATGAATATGCGAGAAGTTGCAAAAGTCTACCTAAGGGGTAACAAAAGAAAATGGTTGAGCAACGGAGGTTTCTCTAGGTAACAAGGATAAACAACATACCAAATAAAGCGAGGCTTGGCCTGGTTGAACCGGCCCGATCGGTTAAGTAGGGATCTCAATCCAGTAGGAGGTTGGACCGGTCGGCTCGACCCCCTTCTCTCCCCTCTCCTATTTTACTTTAGCACTATTTATATGCTGTTTGTGTGGTTTAGGGTCCATTTTTGCTCTTTTTGATTTCAAAGTTCAGCCGTCAGACATCTCCTTTCTTGTTAGAGCTGTATTCGAGGACATGTGGTGCTCCGACTGTATCCTGCTTTGAGATGGTGGCTCTCTCAATCCGTCACCATACTCCCTCTTCTCTGCTGTCGTCAACCTTCCTTGCACCTAATTCCCTGTCGCCAGCCCTTCTGCATAGTCCCTAACTGCTGTAGACCTCACCAAGCCTTCTCTCTATTGCAGCCATCATTTTAGCCCCATCCTTATTGTCTCCAATCTTTTCTATACTCTTCCAGTACCTCGGAACCTTTCTAGCAGGGTGCTACCTCATCCTCCCTGCCCTCCACCTAAATGCTGCCATAGCCTCTCAAACCACCCCTACACTTGTTGTGCTGCTGTGGTTCATCACCTTCGCGCCCGCCCAAGGGTCTCGTTTGTATTCATGTTATTTTATTTTCAGTTTTATGAATCTTTGTTTTGCCTCTTTCTAAATTCAAGCAATAATAATAATATTTGATTATTTTTTGGGTTACTCCAGTATCACCAATGCCTTGGGACAATGTTGCTGTCAAAAACAACTCGTAAGAAGGCTCACCAAAAGGCCATACCAAAAGTCTAGCGAACAAGCAATCAAGTATGCACAGATTCATCTGCACAATGACAATGCATTGGAGGTGAGGATGAATGTATCTGAGTTGCAGGGGTTTCTAAGCTAAGCGAGACTAATGCATCGGATGGCCAAAGCTTGCAAAGTGATCTTGAGATGAGATGCCACATATGATCGCGAGGGTGATCAGGTGTAGGGTATGCTAGACTAACGCCTCGGGACTAAGGGCACACTGCTCATACTTTTTTGGTAGTTAAGGAGAGGTTTAATTATCCTTTTAAAATGTGTAACCATGCTTCATAAATTGGAGGTCAGACTGGTTGAATGCACCTTATAATGGATTTAGGTTTATCTATGCTGAGCTTTGCAAATATAAAGGGCTACTTGTAATTGTGGATATAATTTATTAATTTGACCAAACAATGGAGAGCAAAGTGTAGTGGAAGTAAGAAGAAAAAGAAAATAATGAAAAAAACTAGGAAAATCATATTAATACAGGTGTCAAAGATGGATGTAACCTTAACTTTGAAAATGCCACTAGCTTGCACTCCAACTAGCAGATTCTTTTTTTTTTTGTTCCCATGCTTCCGCTCTTAAGGGGCTCCGCCATTAGCTTCCCTTTATTGCTGATCTCTTAGACCTGCTACACCTTTACGTCCATCTCTGTCCTATTAGACCTGCAATAGCCTCCTTATCACCTCAGATATCATTGGGATTCTTTCTGTTTTTTCACCAATTCTTGTGAGCTATTTGATTTAACAGTAAACTATACATGGGCAATCTTATTGTAATAAATTTGTAGTTATTTTTTAATCATTTATTTTGCATATTTCGTATTAGAAGCTTTCCTAGCGTTGTATAAATTCTACACGATTGTTGGAATAAAATACATTCAACTATTCTCCAATTTGTGTCATCTTCTTAATTTTTTAAACATAAATATTTTTTTCCTACTTCAAAAACACTGCTGTCATAATTTTCCCTTTCTTTTGATAACCAAACTACCCTATTCCCTCCATTTTAGGTTCCATTAGATTTGTTGGATGTAATTTGAATCTAATGGAGTTAAAAAAACATCTGTTTAAAATATTGATCGAGTGAAAAATTAATATATGATGTCATCATAATTGGTTTGCGCATTCTTGAAAAGAAGATGAAATTTTGTGTCATTTAGTAGCAACCAAAATTGAGCTAGGAGATATCATGTTTAAAGATTGGATCAACAAGACTCTTTAGTGATGTGCAGTTGAAGATGGATGATACATCCTTGTTCTTTCATTGAATAAACCATATATATATATATATATGAAATCAAGAACAAGATCTCCTTTACATGACAAAAAGGATGATCTATCATAAAGTATTACAATTTATTGCAAAGTATGCTACAAACAATGGATTATTATCAATTCATCCAAATGAAATACAATAAAGATGCAACTTTTCTTAAAGATTTTTTTTATAAACAGAGTGAACATTGTATTTTATGTTATAAGAGTACAAATTCTTGAAACACAAATTCTTGAAAGGAGGATCTATCATTATTAATTGAGACTGGAGAAGAAATAGGAGTCATTATCACCAACAACCCCGTAGAGGTTTGGCCTTATT